TAAATTACGTAAATCCACTTAGCTCCCTTGAACTCAGTGGAGTTATGCTGATTTACCCTAACTGAGGATCTGGCCCATGTAATAAAAAACAGGCTCAGATCCTTAAAGGTATTTCGGCTTCTAACTTTCTTTGACATCAGTGGAGCCTAAATACCTTTGGAGATCTGAGCCTTAGTCCCTATCCCAGAGAGCTCAGTACAGGCGAATGAGACAGACAGGTCAGGACAAGGTCATAGTAAAACAAGCACATTGGTGTAAGAGTGGTTTGATGCGCTTGAAAAGGGGCTCAGCAAAGGGGTGAGGTGGCCTGAGCCACCAGCCCGTAGACGGAGGCTAGCAGCACCGCTCAAGTGGAATTGAGAACTGGGCAAGGGTACTAAACTAAAACCAAAACTCCCTGATGTAAATCAAACCCCCATCAATCATCTAATTCTCTGCAGGAGAGAAGGCAGGCGGAAGCCCAGCAGCAGAGTGGGAGCTCTCCTGTTTATTGCACTCAATGTAGCATGCATGATTACCTGCCCTATGGGCTGGTGCGTATGTGTGCATTCAGTGCAAGGAGTTCCTGGCCCTCAGAGATGACGTACGGGCTTTGGAGGCCAGGGTGGCTGAGGTTCATGGAGGTTAGGTCCATAAAAGGCTATTAGCCAGGGGATAAAATGGTGTCCTTGGCCTCTGTTTGTCAGAGGCTGGAGAGAGATGGCAGGAGACAAATCGCTTGTTCATTGTCTTCGGTCCACCCCCTCTGGGGCACCTGGAGCTGGCCACTGTTGGCAGACAGGCTACTGGGCTAGATGGACCTTTGGTCTGACCCAGTACGGCCGTTCTTATGTTCCTATGTTCTAATTGGAGGAGCTAAGGGAGGCTGAGAAGTATGCAAATGAGGCTTTTCAGGATGCTGTAGAACTGTCCCACCTCCAGTCAGACCGCCCCTGTGCTGTTAAGGAGGATGAAAGGCTCAGGGAAGGAGAACATTCAACTGGAGCAGAGGGAAATGATCCCATAGTTGGGACCCTCCTTTTGGAGGATGTTAATGGATCCTCTCGCCCTGAGGATATATCTTCGGGGGAGGGAACTCCAGTCGTTAGGAACAGGCAGGTGTTAGTAATGGGGGATTCCATCATTAGAAACAGAGAGAGCTGGGCTTGCAATGATCAGGAGAACCATATGGTGACTTGCCTGCCTGGTGTGAAGGTTGCAGATCTCTCAAGACATCTAGACAGACTTATGTGTCGTGCTGGGGAGGAGCTGGTGGTTGTGGTACACGTAAGTGCCAATGACACAGGGAAGGGAAATCCAGGACCTCTATGGTGGCATTCTCGGAAATGCTTCCAGTTCCACGCGCAGGGCCAGGTAGGCAGGCAGAGCTTCAGAGTCTCAGTGCGTGGATGAGATGATGGTGTAGAGAGGAGGGGTTTAGATTATGGTGGGGGGAGGGATAGCTCAGTGGTTTGAGCATTGGCCTGCTAAACCCAGGGTTGTGAGTTGAGTCTTTGAGGAGGCCATTTAGGGATCTGGGGAAAATCTGTCGGGGATGGTACCTGGTCCTGCTGTGAGGGTAGGGGACTGGACTCAATGACCTCTCAAGGTCCCTTCCAGTTCTATAAAAAAGAAATTATTAGGAACTGGGGAAACTTTTGGGAAAGGAGGAGCCTATATAGGAATGGTTAACAATATTATCCGGTGGATAATATACAGCAAGGATGGGCTCCACCTAAACCCAAATGGAACCAGACTGCTGGCATTTAACATTAAAAAGGTCATAGAGCAGTTTTAAAATTTAGGGCGAGGGAAAGCCAACGGGTGCAGAGGAGCACGTGGATCGGACAGAGACATCTCTTGGGGAGGCTCTATTAATAGAGATTCTCTGTGCTCTAGTAAAGAGGAGTGGAAGGAAGATGATAAAGTATGGGTCAGATCAGATGAGGAGCAATCAAATGAGAAAGAGTCTAACACATCAGGAAATGGCAGACAGAAATAGTGACATTATTCAAGGGCTTATCCACAGACCCTAGAAGTTTAAATAACATGATAGGTGAACTAAAGCAGCAGTTCCAACCACTGGTCTGTGGACCTGTGGCCGGCCGCAAACCGCTGCCTGCTCAGCCATGGCACTCTGCCGGGCCTCACCCCCAGCTGCTAATGAACTCCACCCGCTGGGGAGCTCCGTTCCCTGTGCGCTAAATATTCTCCTCCCACCCTCCCAATGTGAGTGACGTTGCGGGCTGCCCCATGTGCCGCGGTTGGAGCCAGGCCATGGTGAAGCTGTTCCAGCTCCGGTGGCAGCCACACGGCCTGGCTGGTGGGCTTGCATGCTGGGCAGCTTCCCCATGTCCTTTCCAGTGCAGGCAGCGTGTTCGGGACCAGGGAGTGGAGCCTTCACAGCCATGAGCGTCCAGTAGGGTCCCCCAGGGGTCTGTTTTGGGACCAATCCTATTCAACCTATTTATAAATGATCTGAAGAAAGGGTTAAACAGTGAGGTGGCAAAATTGGCAGTTGATACTAAACTACTCAAGATAGTTAAGACCAAAGCTAACTGTGAAGATCTCATCAAACTAAGGATATGTCTACACTTGCACCCGCTTTCGAGAGAGGGAAGCAAATGTCGACATTCGACATTGCAAATGAAGCCGGGATGTAAATATCCCGTGCTTCATTTGCTTATTCATGTTATGGCGCTATTTCGAAATAGCACTATTTCGAAAAAGAAACGCGGTCTAGACAGTTATTTTGGGAGAAAACCCTTCTTCTGAAATAACCAGTAAATCTCGTTGTATGAGGAATAAGGGTTATTTCAGAAGAAGGGTTTTCTCCCGAAATAACGGTGTCAACACAGCGTTTGTTATTACAAAATAGGGTATTTCGAAATAGCGGCGGTCCACAATTATGCAAATGAAGCGTGGAAAATTCAAATCCATGCTTCATTTGCAATTTTGCTCAGCTGTATTTGCATCCCTCTCTCGAAAGAGGGTGCAAGTGTAGACATACCCAAAGTGATTGGGCAATAAAATGGCAAATGAAATTCAATATGGATAAATGTAAAGTAATGCACATTGGAAAAAATAATCCCAGCTATACGTACAATACGATGGGGACCACAACTACTCAAGAGAGAGATCTTGGAGTCATTGTGGATAGTTCTCTGAAAACATCCACTCAATGTGCAGTGGCAATCAAAAAAGCAAACAGAATGTTAGGAATCATTTAAAAAGGTATAGAGAATAAAACAAAGAATACCTTATTGCCTCTGTATAAAACCATTGTACACCCACATCTTGAATACTGCGTACAAATGTGGTCACCTCATCTCAAAAAAGATGTCTTGGCATTGGAAAAGGTTCAGAAAAGGGCAACAAAAATGATAGGGTTTGGAACGGGTCCCATATGAAGCGATATTAAAAAGACTGGGACTTTTCAGCGTAGAAAAGAGGACACTAAGGGGAGATATGATAGAACTGTCTATAAAATCATGACTGGTGTGGAGAAAGTGAATAAGGAAAAGTTATTTACGTGTTCCCATAACTAGGAACTAGGGGTCACCAAATGAAATTAATAGGTAGCAGGTTTTAAACAAAGAAAAGGACGTTTTTCTTCACACAGCGTCTTGGCCTGTGGAACTCCTTGCCAGAGGACATTGTGAAGACCAGGTCTTTAACAGGGTTCAAGAAAAAACTAGATATATTCATGGATGGCTCTGAGCCAGTCTGGGTAGGAATGGTGTCCCTAGCCTCTGACAGAGGCTGGGAATCGGTGAGAGGAAGGATCGCTTGATGGTTCCCTGTTGTGTTCACTCCCTCTGGGGCATCTGGCATTGGCCACTGTCGGAAGACAGGACACTGGGCTAGATGGACCTTTGGTCTGACCCAGTGTGGGCACTCTTGTGTTCTCATGCTCTTAATATAGTCCAGACTAACAAGGAGGGGAGGTTATGTCAAAAGAATTCCAGCACGGAACCCTAATCAGCCATAAATCTCAGCAGCGGGCAGTTCTTTGGGGCTAGGTATGAGCCGCACAACTGGAGCATGCTGGAGGTTAAGGCTAAACGTTGACTGAAAATCAAGGGAACCCGCTAGGGTGCTGGTGGTTTATAGCCTACTTTGGAAAGATACCTAATGAAAGTGTCAAGCAAGTAGATCTCTTTAAGAAAGAAAGAAAGAAACAAAGCCAAATCTAAACAGCTTTTCCCCCCTTAATGTTGCCACCCCGTGATGAGAGTTCGGTAGGAACCGGGTTTACAACCACATGTGTTAATGAAACTGCTTCTAATTAGATTCTACAAAACTTGGTAGGTGCTGCTAACAGCTGAAGGCAGCTGTGAGGTAAAACATCTGGATTTTGTTCCCGCAGCTCAGTGAAATTGTTTTCAACAGGTTTCTGTCGTGTCTGCAAACAGCTGTTTGTCCAGAAGGATCTGTGTCCGTCTAAGCTGTCCTGGGGGGAGATGAAGGCAGATTCCTTGATACTTTGGGTCTGTAGTCAGGACCCACTCCTCATGGAGCCGTGTCTCGTAGATAGAGTAGCAGGCAGTGGCTCAGACCATAACTACTTAGTGCCATCCTGGGGCGACCCTCTCTGGGAGGTGGGTCAGGGTGCGGGGGTACGATGGGAAGCAGGATTTGAGTAGGGGAGGGGCAGTCATCATACGAAAGCGAGTTTGGGGGAGGTTGAAAATTTAGGTGTTTCCAAGTCCCATTTTGCCTCCATCTACCTCTGACTGTGACCACAAATTGCCTGTCCAGTCAAAGTATGTGATCTCGACGTATTATCCTCCTCTCCGATAATCATGTGTAACTCTCATTACAAGTGTCAGTCCTCCCTCTTCAAAATCCCCTCGGGGGTCCAATTCTACTCAGTGACAGCGAAGCAAAAGCAGAACGGGGCAGATGTTATTGAGAGCCGAAGGCGGCGGTGTGGGTTTTGAATGAGGGATGCGGCTGCCCAGGTGGCCTGTGAAACCCGGTGGAGGGATTTCTGATCATTGTGCTTTTCTCGCCCTCAGCGAGTGCCAATATCTGCAACGTTGTCCTGATGAGGCACACGGAGCTGGAAGAAGGGATCGACGTCCTGGACAGCAATGGGAACATTGTCGGATCTTCCAGAATTGCTGCCAAACATGTATGTACCTGCAGGGCTCCCTGGTTCTGTGTCCCTACCTGCTAACCATGTAGGTACCTGCAGGCTCCCTGGTTCTCTGCGCCCCCGCCTGCTAACCATGTAGGTACCTGCAGGGCTCTCTCGTTCTCTGCGCCCCCGTCTGCTAACCATGTAGGTACCTGCAGGCTCCCTGGTTCTCTGCACCCAGACATGCTAAACACGTATGTACCTTGTGGGTTCCCTGCAGCTGTGCACACACACACATAAGACATGTATGTACCTGTGCAGATCCGTGGATCTGTGCACACATACACAGCTGGCCTTTAGGACCAATGAAGCCCATGTCTGTGGGAGAGCTAGAAACAAAGGAGAATCACAGTTGTCAGTTACTCAACTGGGGTGGTTTAGGCCTTAATAATCATCCAAGATAAATCAGGCTCTTGAGGTTAATTACCTGCTTTGTGGAGACAACTATGGTGAGCACTCAGAAATCTGGGGGCTTTGTTGTGCATGCCGGATTAGGGGTACCATTGGGGTAGAAGCTGCTTTTGAGTATTTGGTCCAGAAAACCTGGTTTAGTCAATCAAGATTAATGAGAGTAAGAATGGTAGAAATGCTCCCCAGTCTAGTAGCAAAAGGCGGAGTGAGAGCCGGTGGGTGAAGCTAGACACATTCAGATAAGAATGTACGGCACGGGGTTTTTCAAGTGGTCACTAAATCAACTTCCCTAGACCTCTGTTTGATTCTTCAGCACTTGAAGTCCTTAAATCCAGCCGGGGTATTTTTTAAAAATCTGTGTTCTAGCTCCCCCAGAAGTTGTGGGATTGATGAAGGAACGGGCATGTTATGCTGGAGGTTAGATTAGAGGATCATAATGATCCTTCTGGCCTGAAAAATCTAATATCTTTTCAAGTGAGAGCCTCTTGTTCACTCCCAGCTGGTCTGAGGATTTCACCGGGGAAGCTATAAGCATTTCACTTACGAGTATGAAGCAGAGATAACACGCACCTTTTTACAAATGAGAAAAACTTAGTTTTAGATTAGCTCTTTAACCCATCCTGTGCCGAATGACACTAGCTACCATGAACCAAACCTTTGTAAGGAGACTCCAGCTGTTTTTTTATTTTTCTTGTTAACACCTGGTTTGCTCCTCCCCAACTTTCTGAACCGACGATTCGGGGCATTCCAGCTCTGGGAGGGAGGAGGAGGAGCAGGGATGGAGCATAAATCCAGTGATTTGCACGCACCAAAAGTGAAGGAAAGGGGAGGGTGGAGGAGGGGAGCAGCCAGAGGGTCTATGGGCTGCAGGTGACGTGCCCACCGCTGTTCTAAACTGTCCTATGCTCCATATATTTGGACTTTCCTGTTTTCTCTTCTTGAGTAGCTTCGTCTCTGGCACAGCAGCGGATTGTCTCCTTGAACCGGGTGCTTTTCTAGTGGGTTTTAATGTGCAAGGTGAAGTGTGCAGTGGCACACGCCCAGGCAGGGTTGCTCATAATACACAGGGTATCTAATTTACCCTTCCAGGTGCCTGCCTCCCTGTTAATGTCGCCATGTGACTGAAGGGGAAACTGAGGCACGGAGCTGTTAAGCAATTTGCCGAGGGGCTCAGAAGCAGGTGGTGTTTAGAGCGGAAGCAGGTTTCCTGACTCGCCCCCACCCGATCTCTAGCCCAAGACCCCTCTGGGTCCCAATGTCAGGCCAAAGGGCGCAGGCCCGGGTCCTGAAGGGTAGCCAGCTTCCCAGCTTCCATTGATCCAGTGGGAGAGAAGCAAGTCAGTGTCTCTGAGGACCTGGGTTTGGCTGGTTGCCTGGCAGCTCCTTTTGAGTGCCAAGCTCCCGGCGGTTTGCTCTGTGCAGGAGGGGGCAGGGCAGCACTTGGCGGGGTGGAGAGGTGAGCCGAGCTGCCCTCCCATGCTGCTGCTACGGGCGGGTTCCCCGCACGAGGGGATTGGAACACAGCGAAGGGGGAAAGGGTGGGGCCGTTCAGCCGCCATCTTGCCTCGCGCACCAGGCCAGGCAGCTGTGCTGTCCCCCTCTCCTCTCTCCGTTCACCTGGGCTCTGCTCTCCCCAGCATCTTAGACTCCTCAGTTCTCCTCCTCCCAGCTCTGCCTGCACAGCCTCCTTCCTCCGCCAGTCTGCTTCTGGCAGTACCTGGTTGTCTCCCTCGTGGGACCCCTCCCAGCACCCCTCGCATGAGAACATCAGAACGGCCAGACGGGGGCAGGCCAAAGGTCCATCCAGCCCCGTGTCCTGTCTGCCCACAGTGGCCAGCGCCAGGTGCCCCAGAGGGAGTGAACAGAACAGGGAACCATCCAGTGATCCCTCCCCTGTCGCCCACTCCCAGCCTCTGACAAACAGAGGCCAGGGACACCCTCCCTGCCCATCCTGGCTAACAGCCATCGATGGACCTGTCCCATGTTCCCTCTAAGATTTTCCATCCATGAGCGGAGTGTTTTGTGTCTCATGCGCCAGCAATGAGGTCGTGTGTGCTGCCGTGGGACGCCCCCGTGGCGCAAACCCCCAAGAGACTCCTAGGTAGAGTCCCCTCACCTTGTGGGGAGAAGGTGAGACATGCCCCCCCTCCTCATGGGGCTGGCTGTGAGCCCCCCACTTGGGGCAGAGGGAAGCAGCTGCCAGCATCCTGGGCTTGCAGGGGAGAGGTGTTGGGGATGGGGCAGTGACACGTAAGGAACGGGGGGGCAGATTGACAGAGCATTGCGGGGGCAGGAGCTTCTGACGGGCAAAAGAGAGGTGTGGGAGGGGTCAGAGATGCAGGGGGCTCGAGCCCCAGGAGCAATCACACCACAGCCCCGCTCCAGCCTTGGACAGCCTGCCCGCAGAGCAGTCGGGAAGCCACTACAGGCCCGTACGCAGGAACTGATCCATTCCTGCCCCTCCCCTTTTCCCCCAGCTGTTTGCAGGTTCCTGCTGTGGGAGGAAGGGGGGGAAAGAAGCAGGGATGGTGCACGAATCAGGCGATTCATGGGCTCCAGAAGTGCTGAGAGGGAGGGCGAAGGAGCAAGTAAGTGCAGGGTTCTAGTGTCCCTGTGCACAAGAGGCTCATGGGGGAGAGAGGGGGGTCACGGGGCCGCAGGTGGAACCCCTGTGGGCTGCTGCGGCCCACTGAAGTGCAGGAGGCCCCTCATGCGACCCACCCACCGTTATCGGTTGCCCATCCTTGCTCTACAGTCCAGCAGACAAAGGTGTATCTAACACAAGATCCAATGGCTGGAAACTGAAACTAGACAAATTCAAATGGGAAAGAAGGTGCCAGTTTTGAACAGGGAAGGTAATTAGCCATTAGAACAACTTGCCAAGGGGTATGGTGGGTTCTTCATCACTGGCCATTTAAAAATCAGTTTTAAAATGTCCATCACTGGAGATTTTTAAGAGCAGGTTGGACAGACACCTGTCAAGGATGGTCCAGATGGTGCTTGGCCCTGCCGTGAATGCAGAGGACTGGACCTGATGACCTCTCGAGGTCCCTTCCATTTCTAGCGTTCTCTGAGTAAATATTTTTCTGAAGAACTGCTCTAGCTCAAATAGGAATTAATTGAGGGAAGTTCTCAGGCTTGGGTTATGTAGCAGGTCAGACCAGATGTTCACAGTTGCCTCTTTCGGCCTGACAGTCTACGAATCTACATGCAAGTGACTGATAGGAACCTTGTTATCAGTCTTGGTTGTTGCATTACAACCGTATACCCACCATTCAAAATGCCAGGGGAAGGATGTGTGTCCCAGTGGATTGCTTGATCAATCAAGGCATACGCTGAGACCAGTTTTAAGTGTCTGTCTTCTCTCTCTTTTTTATTTCAGGCACTGATGGAGACAGCCCTGACTAGAGTAGTCCTGCCAATGCCTATACTGGTTCTACCTCCAATTATTATGTCTCTTCTGGAAAAGTAAGTGTTGGATGATGTGAGACAAGGGGAAATAGCCAAGGGGCAGTGAGAGACAGCCTTTGTGGGTAAAGATGTGCAGTTTAGGATATGTCCGCGTAACACCGACAGGCAGAACCGGACCTGGGACCTCTGGAGCTTCGTGTATGAAGTCTCTCCAGAGCTTCATGTGTGAGGTCTCTCCGGAGCTTCGTGCATGAGGTCTCTCCGGAGCTTTGTGTATGAGGTCTCTCCGGAGCTACAGCCTGAACTAAAAGCCTCTAGTTCACCTCTACGGCCTGAACTAAAAGCCAGTGAAAGTTGCGGGGGCGGGGAAGGGGTTCATCTGGGATGTCTCTGAAGTCCAGGATGCACTTCTTCAGCTAAGGGATGTATGTAACCCACACACCTGGGAGATGGGTCACCGTCCCACGGAGTGGCACTGAGACAAAGAAGGAGTTTGCTCTATAGCCTCAGCTGAGCACCAGTGGCTTTTAGCGCTAGCAGCAGAGGTTCATGGACTAAGCTCCAGAGGTCTCAGGTTTCCACTTACAACACTGACAGGCAGAATCAAACCTGGGACCTGTAGAGACTCATGCTTCTGTCTCTCTGTAAGTGGTCTCAGTGCCACTCCATGGAACAGTGGACCTCCCACAGCAGCTGTGTGGGTTACACCTGCTCTGGAACCGGAAGGCGTCATCCTCCCCTTCCCTCCCCCCGCACTAGAGACATACCCGTGCTAGCTCTAGCTAGAGTGCTGAAACTAGCAACGTAGCCACAGCAGTGCAATCAGCAGGAGGGGCCAGTCCCATCGGAGAACCCAAGTGTGGACTCGGGTCAGCTAGCTCTCCCATGCGGCCGTGGCTGCTCTTCAGGTTTCAGCTTGTGAGTTTGATCGGAGCTAGTGTGAGTGTGTCTGCCTGAGCCAAAAGTTACACCCTCAGGCTCCAGCGTGGCCATTCACTGTGATTTGAGAGGCATTTCCCTTGTCAAATAGGCCAAGGACAAAAGCGGCCTCCGGTGCAGAGCAGCGATTGTATTGTCAGACGCTGTACTGCTCTTTTGGCCAGTGGTGTCGAATAACGTAGCTTCAATCTCAGTTTTAGGGCTTCTCCTTAAAAGGAACAAGAAGAAAACTTCTCTCTGAATTGCTGCAGCCTGAGCCCAAACCCAGCGTATTCAATGGGAAAAAATCCCCGTTAAATTCTGCGGACTTTGGATCAGGCAGTAAGCATGTTATTTCGTGCAGGCCTCTTTCTGAAACTGTGTCTCATTATCAGCCGCTGTCTGGAAGCCTGGGTAGGACACTAGCCTCAAATACTGTCTGTTGCATGCCCTCTGAAACATGGCTACCTGGGGTAAGGGCTCATCTACATGGGCCACCGTACTTTGCTGTAACTTTCTCGCTCAGAGGTGTAAAAAAACCCACCCCCGCCCCCAAGTGCGGCAAGTTGCAGTGTTGCTAAGTGCCAGTGTAAACAGGCTCCCAGCGCCGTTAGCTATGTCCCTGGTGGCGGTGGTTTACTGTGACCACACTGCCACGTTCAAGTGCTGCGCGTGTAGATTTAGCAGTGTACCCAAAGCCTCAGCTTGATTCCCTTGTGATGAGCGGCTGCATGGCATTTCATAAGAACATAAGAACGGCCGTACTGGGTCAGACCCAAAGGTCCATCTAGCCCAGTATCCTGTCTGCCGACAGCGGCCAGCACCAGGTGCCCCAGAGAGGTTGGACCAAAGACAATGATCAAGCGATTTGTCTGCTGCCATCCCTCTCCACCCTTTGACAAACAGAGGCCAAGGACACCATTTTATCCCCTGGCTAATAGCCTTTTATGGACCTAACCTCCATGAAATTATCTAGCTTCTCTTTAAACTCTGTTATAGTCCTAGCCTTCACAGCGTCCTCTGGCAAGGAGTTCCACTGGTTGACTACACGCTGTGTGAAGAACTTTCTTTTATTAGTTTTAAACCTGCTACCCATTAATTTCATTTGGTGTCCTCTAAATGAAATTCATTTCAGTGCGCTTTAGAGAAATGCTACCCTATTAGTAGCACCTTTGGGGGTGAGGGATATCATAGTATGTCTAATTATCTGCGTCACCGCATTTTAACAACATGCGTTCTGCATCTGCTGGCCACTCCCCCTCCCAGGTTTCAGCAAGTCCTTTTTCCTTTCTGATAAGAAGGTAGCGCAGGGGGTTCTTCTGGTTCCGGATGTTTACTCCTTCCTGGCTTCTTGAAAGATTTTCTCTGCCAGAGAAGAGGCCATCGACTATCATCCCATCAGTACACCTCATTCAGTTTCAATGGGCTTTAATGGGGCGTGTGTCACCTGCGAGCCTTCAGAGACTGATTACTGCCTTGAAGGAGAGTGTCTCTAAAGAGCCAGCTCCCTTTGTTTAGACGGGCTAAGCTGGAAGCACTTTTAAAGCAAATGTTGGCAACATAAGACACTCCAATGACAAAGTAAACAATAATTAGCACGACTGGGGATTGAACCAGAGCTTTGTCCTTGGTCCATAAATGCCACTGGACTATGTGAAATTCTCTCTGCTAGTTAACTAGTATCAAGCGTGATGTCTGATGTGCTTCTGAGCCTCTTGCATTTGTTCATTGGTATTGCTGTAGCCTGGCAAGACCCACTCCAATGCCTGGTCTGTGGTGTGCTTGGCACTGTATAAACACAGTGTTCCTACCCTGGACTCTTTTACATAGACAGAACAGACAAAGGGAGGCAGGAATCAAAGTATTATTAGCCCCATTTTACAGATAAGAAGCGGAGGCAGAGATAGATTAAGGGCCTGTCTACATGGGGAAACTGACTAGACTAATTCCAATTTGGATTAAGCTAAATTGGAATGAGTGCGTCCACACAGGGAACTATTCCAGAATAGCTATTATGCTTTAAGATCAAGCCCTGCCTTATTATGGAATCATTTCAAAGTGCTTTACAAAGGAGTTCAGTATTGTTATTCCCATTTTACGCATAGGGAAACTGAGGCAATGGGAGCAGAAGTGACTTGCCCCGTGTCACCCAGGAGGCCAATGACAGTGCTTGGAATTGAACCAGGACTCCTAGTCCCAAAGGGTTAATGCCAAGTAAAAAGTCTGTGCCATCTGATGAGCTGTAAAACTAGCGTGTTATCGGGTATGTGCAAGGTGGTTTAAAGATCTTGGGGAACTTTTTATCCCCTTTGCCCAAGTGTCCTGGCCAGATCTTGGGAATTTTGGCATCACCTTAAAAATAACCCCCTCTGTTCCAGTCGTAGTCACCTTCCTCCTCTTCCCCCCCATGACCGCACTGGGCCTTGCCTTGCTCCAGCATCTCTTCCTTTTCTCATTAAGTCCCCCATGCATTAGGTACCGACTGCTCCAGCCTGCATGTGCTGAGGTGCAGTGATCTTCTCCTACCACTGGGGTTGCTTTCCTTACTGTAAATCTGGGGGTCTTTCCTGCTGCATGGACCTCCCGGTCGCTGCTCTTTGTTCATCCACCTTGGCTCAGTGGTTTTCTCAGGCCAGTAATTATAGTCCGAGGCTCCTTTCCTGCAGCAAGGAACTCTCTGCCCTTAAAAATGGGGGATGCAGGCAGCTTTGGGACGCCAGCAGAGGGTACCCAAGGGTAGGAGTCAGAAGACTCCCTAGGAGATTTCAGGAGTTCGTTCATCAGAGGAAGGTCAAGGCAATAGCAGACTAGGTCAGCAAAGAAAGAAAGACTCATAAAGCCAGGTTTTGAGGTGGCTAGCAAAGCTACATGGGTTTACTTCATGAGAGAACCAGGCCCATAAAGATGCCAATGGGGACATTGGCTGGGATTATACATTTGAATATTCGTACAATAGGAGCCTATTCAACATGTTTCTTGGAGCCTAGCTCCTGGAGTCAAGTGATTGGGTGAAAATCTCAGGATTCATTTTTTTAAAGTAATTTTTAGCCCTCATGGGTGCAAAGAAGAGCTTGAAAATGTGACCTGAGTGCTCCTTAAAGGCTCAAACCTCACCCAACCAACCAAACCCAACAGTTAGGTTTTTTTTTTTAAATCTCATGATGTTGAAGCCAGTTTCATGGTTTTGAGGCTCTGACTTTAATTTCTGAATGCTTTGGATTGGCAATACTGAGCGTATAGAATGAGGACTAGCAGAAATACAATTTTCTACATATTTATAATATTTACAGACAATGCAGAGATTTTCAAAGACACAAAAGAGCATATGGGCAGCCAATTCCCATTGGCTTTCAGTGAGAAAAAGGTGTCTCGCTGTCATTGTGCCTTTGAAGATCTTTCCCGTGATAATACCTAGATTTAGAAAGCTATCATACATTATTCTGATTGCTGCCTTGCTTTCTGCCCTCATCGGTTCCAACAGGAACTTGTCTGCTGCTGTCTCGAGAACAGTTGGTGCTTTCAAAAACGGTCCCCTGCCATCTGAAGGCTTGGAACCCCAGTTTTCAAGTGCTACGACACTCCATCTTTCATTTATCTTTAGCAATGTGTGAGTTATCAGTTGCTAAAATCATGTTGGTATTGATATAGGGGAAATCCCGAGATCATAATCATGATGATGTGATTTTTAAGATCTTCAGTTTCAAGTCAGTTCAACATTACGATGTATCTCCCAGTGCTGCTGCACTGCCTCACAGAAGTTATCATTCAGATGTCTGACCAGGCACCATCTTCTATGGTGCGCCATATAGCTTGGTCAGAGGGGAAGCTGCATTGCATCATAGGAGACATAGTCAAGTCAGGGAACCTGGCCCATAGGAGAAAATGGTGGCATGAGACTTGTAAACTACAACTCCCATGAAGCAGTACAGTACCATGAAGAGATTCAGTTTAATTTCGAATCGGCTTGAAACAAAATGTTTTGGATTAGTTCAACAAACGGAGACATTTCAATAGGAGTGTAGCCAACCTGAAATTAAATATTTTGATTCAGTATTCCTGATAGAAAATTGAAATGTGTTTGGCAAAATCAAAATTTTCCAGTGAAAAATTTCAATTTTGCAGAAACTGCCTTTTCTGTC